AGGTCATTGTGTTACAGCATAAATATTTACCTATAGTCCTTCCTACAGCTGTTCACAAACAATTTTCCTTTCAGAGAATGTCCAGACTTCTGGAACTCGGGATACTGTTTATTATTGCAGAGAGATCAGTAATAGAGGTCCTCCAGCACTTCTATGTTAGAATACTTTGTTTTCTAAGTTGTTTTTAAGTCAGGAAAAGCTCACTCATTTGGGCTAGGATTTCCCAGGGAGGGCCTGATGGCTGGAGGGTGGCTCCATGTGTGCAAACTCACAGTTTCTCCAAGCTGGCCACAGCTCGACAGAGGCTTCAGTTACACCACCACCTGCTTTTTTTCTTCTTTTTTTTTTTTTTTTTTCCCCTGCAGAACATGCCTGCCTTCAGCACACAAGGTGGACAGTTTTCAAATAAGGAGTAGCTATTCAGCACTTTCTTTCTTCCTCTTTGGCCTTAAGTTTCTTTTTAGAGCACACTGGCAAAGAATTTTTTAATTATGCAGTAAAGAAACCACAGGTTTCAACCAATCATCTATAAATTAAATAAAGTTACTTTTCACACCTTTAGAATTAATTCAGCTGAGGAAAAAAAGATAAGATTTCATGAGCATCATTGTAAATAAAATTTTTGGGGAAGATACAGCACATTTGTTTTGATGAGCCACACATAATTCTCCAAAATAAGGAACTATTGTACTTAATAACTGCAAAGTAATTAAATGCTGATTAAAGTTCCTCTTCCAGCATTTGTAAATCCGTCTGCAGTGTAATTGGCATCCCAAATCTTGTGGTGAGCCACAAAAACTATTAAGGATAGCTAAGAGAGGAAATTGTAGTTTTGACTTATATTGGTAATCTGCTTTTACTGGCTTACATTTTATTCAGGGCTGTATTTCAGCAGGATTCCTTGGATCTCTGGGATCCAGGCCCTGCAGTCTGAGAAGATGGGGAAATAAGCAGGGCAGAAACCAATTGCTACCATCTGGGCAAAGCCTTTATTTGAGAATGAAGATCAAAATCCTAGAATAAGAGAAGACTCACTTCCAAAAGAGCAGCTAGGAAGATGCAAGATTAGGAGGAAAAGACTTTAGTATGTGTTATGAAGGAGGAATAGTCTTTTAGGGAGAGATTTAAGAGGTTTAGACTCAACTCTGAGCCTCAGCTCCTATTTTATGCCGTCTTGGCCCAATCATCTGGTCTCTCTGTATCTCAGTTACCATCTGTAAAATCACTGTAATCCGTCTCATCTGCACTTCCAGACTGAGAGGTTCTCCAGGCAGGGAAGCTGTGGTCCTGTCTATCAGACATGGAGAGGCACACCTAAGTCTGCTCTGCTCCTGCACTGAGCTGCTGACTGCAAGCAAGATCTGTCCTGAGACCACAAAGGGACATTCAAACAGCCTTACAGCTGAATTATCACATCTCACAGAGTCCAGCCAGGGAGCTCATCTCTGCCATGTCTGCTGGCCCCCACCAGTGCTGGAGGATCCACTGACCTTTTTATTCCTTTGTACAATGTCCCAGATTTTTGCTGGTTCTTTGTATTATGGAATACAGTGGCTAGTGAAAGTTAAGATTAGTAAGAGTTATGTAGCACTGAAAGCAGGCAGAGAGGCTGGAAACTACTGAATTTGGTCACAGCTCTCTTTAGAATTTGGGTAAACCATCACCTTATTCTGCTGCAGCCTCCATGTAAATAACATAGGGGTGACAGTTCCTCACTTGCCAGTGGTGTGGCAGAGCTCAGTTAGAGTTATACAGCATAACTCCAAAACCTTTCAATAGGCTACTGAATATTTTCCAGGTATTGTTAAATTTCCAGAATGCTCTCATGTCAATATGAATTATATTCTTTCAAGTCTTAGTGTTTCATGAATCATTTAATGCTGTTCTAGATCTAATATCTTAACCACCTTGCCCATGTCTGACACCTGTGTGGTTTTACATGTTTGGTGTTAGCAGTAAAGCTGGAATAAGAGGGGTTTTTCTCCTTTGAAGGAGTGGGAAAATAGAGAAGCCATATGGTTCAAAAAGCCTAATGAAGTTTGTGCTTTCCAGAGCACAAACAAAACAGCTCCATCAATTTGATCTTCGTCGTCAAAACTGACATGCAGTTGGCTTTAAAACACTGCCTCCTTCTCAAAAACCAACAAGGGATTGATTTTCTCTCAACCAAAAGTATTTTTACCAAGATGAACAAGAGCATCTGGTCATTGCATTAAATGTCTGGGTCCTTTGAAAGAGCAAGTCAGTGATACCTTGTGTTTACTTGCAGAGCTTGACAAGAAAGACACAAGGGGAACATTTGTTTTCAGGGGAAACTGCTCCAGTGAAAAGCAATTGGCTTGAAATGCTACATGAACACAACTGTACCACTAGAGACAGGGGACGTAAATAATCCATCAAAAATGGTCTGAGCCACAAGAATGTACAAGGGCACACTGTGAGATGAGGAAAGAAGGTACAAAACAGTATAAGAAGTACTGGGTTTAGCCAGTCTTTACAACAAGGATGTGTGGAAATAAACCATACCTCAGCCCATATGTCTGACACAGATTTAGGTTAAAGTTACCCTTTCTTGGGGGATCAATATTTGTTTGCACAGCATTCAATCTCACACCCACAGAGGCCAGTGGGAGTTTGTCATTTCCTTCCATAGATGCCTGATGAGGCTCTAAATAACTAGTGTTTGTGCCCAGGGTTTTTCAGTGCCAAATATAATGAACACTATTGTTCTTAATACAATTATATTTGATAATCCAATTTCCCTGAGCAACTGAATTGGACCTGAATTCCAGTCCAACTTTTACCCTGTGCCTCCTGGCTTTTTGCTTTCATTTGCTTCTGTTGTGCTACCAAGAATAGGCAGAGCCTTCTTTGACTTCTAGATACCTTGATGCCTCTGCCCTGGAACAATGGGATCTGGCTCGAGCTTTATAGAAGATACAGGATGACACAGGAGATCAAAGACTCTGGCAACCTCTACATACTACAAAAGCACAAGCTGGACTGAAGCAGTCTCCTATAGCATTCCTTTCTCTGCAGCAGAGTCTGGAAAGCACATACAAAAGGAGTCTGTATAGACATAACTCTGTACAACTATTTCCACTTCAGCCTGTTTGTTCCGTGTAGCACAGAGAAATGGATGAATGTGGTTAAGAAAGAGGTGAACAAGGAAAACCAAATCCTCAAACTACATAAACTGTAAGATGACTGATGCTACAGGAGTCATCAGAGGGTTTCCCTCACAGAAGCATCTCTTTCCAGATAAGATATTTACATTCTGGTCCCTTTCTTATACTGGCTGTGCAGCAAAGTGCATTCTCCAAGAATCACCCTGTTATCGGGTGATAATCCTCCATCAAGCAGCACCAAGTGTCTGCTACATGCCCTGAGTCCACAGCAGATTCTCCTCCTGCTGCAAACAGGAAAAAGGAGAAATTGAACAAAACCAGGCCAAGTGCTAACCAGTAGGCAGCTGGAAACTGCCCTGAACTCTGTCCCCACTTCCACCATCTCAGAAAAACAGAACTTTGTAGACCACATGCTCAGGATGCTGATCAGTCAAAAGGTGAGCAAGATACCTGATTTCACCCCCTGCTTTGTAACCTTCCCCTTGGCTCCCTTAGCATCCTCCAGCACACTGATTTTCACTCAGCTCTTCCTTCTCCCAGACAAGCACCAATGAGCATATTTCTGTGGCAGCCTCTGCAGAGGAATCTCTGATTATCCAGAGAAATGTCTTTGGGAGTCTTTGGGAATGCTCAGCCCAGCAAGTGGCCCCAAAATCTCATTGCTGGGCTGAGCAAGCCTTTTGAAGATGGTCAAAAGCATTTCCAGTGAACCCCTGGTCACTGAGACAGCATCTGAAGGTTTTTTAATACTGCCTCCCTCAAGAACATTTCTCAGGAGCCAAGCATCCCTGGGTTACCATGCCAGCTCGGAGCTTTGCTTCAACCCAAATATTATTCCTGAAGACACCACGCTTCATCCAACAGCCAACAGCTCAGCACATGGATCTCCCCGCTGTGTGTTTCCATATGGATGCTCCAACATTTGTTTTGAGAGTTATCCTGTTCCAACAGCAAACATAAAGGTCAGTGTGACCTCTCCTTATCACACAGCCTTTCCTGCGTGGAATTCATTGTGATCTGGACCCCAGTGGCCATTGCATCATTTCTGTTTATGTGTAACCTCTGTCACTCTGCAATCTTATCTGCCTGCAGCCGGCTGCAGCAGAGGATGCGCAGCAGCACAGCCAGCCCTGGCAATCCTCAAACACTGGAAGGGGCCAGCTGAGAGCGGAGGCCAGTGAACGATTAGCAAAGCAAATCTGCAGTCACTGACAGCCCCATGGAAATCAGCTCTGTCTCTGTCAGCCCAGGGCAGGAGAGGCTTTGCCCCAGCCCTACTCACCGATGACGATGAGGGTGTAGTTCACGTTGGTGCTGCCGAAGCCGTTGGTGGCTTTGCAGATGTAGGTCCCTGCATCTTCGCTCTCCACCTCCTTGATTTTCAGCCCTTGCTGGAGGATGCGGAACCGCGTCCAGCCGCTGTGGATAGTCCGTCCGTCCTTCATCCACATGGTGAGGGGCGGGGGGTCGCCTTCCACCGGGCACAGGAGCTTGATGGTCCTGCCCAGCCTCACGGACTGGCGGTGAATCACTTTATCAGCGATCCTGGGGGGGCCTAGGAGAGAAGAGAGACAGGAACAGCTGTTATGACTTTTGCCAGTGACACAGCACTGATTCAAAGCCGAGTCATCAATCTGCCCATTGCACTGACTGCTATAGAATAGAAGGTGCTTACCAAAAATCACTTACAACCAAGGCTGAAAATGTCAGCAGCTACAGAGAGATACAGCAAGACCTGAATCTGTAGCCTTGCCATCAGCAGCAGCTCAAGCTAACCCACCGGGGAAGCCTAGCTCTGAGGCTCTATTGCTTTTCCAAAATTTCCAGCATTTTCCCATCACAAGAAGGAGCCCCACACACAAACTGTTCTACTGCATTTGGTAAAGAAACTGTAGTTGTTTTAAACTTAACACCTGAAGGCAAAATTAGTAACAGGAGTGGTACTTACAACAAAACACTGCCCCCCCCACTCCCAAATGTTTTAATCCTTTCATGTTGCATGTACAGTAATTCCCTTTAATAGTCACCAGATGGGCTTTATCCGAGACACATAAGCCTGCAGTTGTTGAACACAGAACATTCATTGGGTAGTGCTTCAATGAATGATACAGCTTAGCCTGACATGCTAACACTGCTTATAGTCCAAAAGAGGATATTTTTATAAATTTCCTTAGCAACCCTGCCGGTTTGACCCACCTGACAAATATTTGCTCTTTGTAAAAGGTGATAATTTCACACAAAAGAGAGTGTCCCTGGAATGTCAGAGTAAAAACACTGCCACATGATAACAGGATGCACTTGGACAGGCCAACAACCAGGAAAAAAAGAAGTGATAAAGACTCTAACAGTGGGAATGGTCCCATAGCTGGATTCCAACTGAAATTCTTTCCCAAGGCTCTGAAAACTTGAGAGTCTTTCCTGCATCTGCCTTTTCATTAATTGCACAAGTTCTCTACACAGATTGCAATAGCAGTGCTCTTCCCAGAATAGTCTATTAATGGGTGTGATAATGACTGCCCTGTTCTTGCACAAGGACAAAATGTTTTGCTAAGGATTGCTGATGCTGAGTTGCACCCAAAACCCACAAGATGTTTGTGGGATTTGGAACTGTTCCCTCATATTTTACTCCTGTTCCTAGTGTTTTACAGGATTGGACCAACAGGGGATAAACTACAGAGCTCATAGCTGCACTTCCTCATGACTAATTCCTATTATTCCAAAGTCTGCCTGATTTTTCCTCAGCATGACTAAGGCAGTACATACAGTCCAGCTCCTGAATGACTCCAGAGCTGCTGTTGCAGTTACTCATGTTGAATTTCACTCATGACTTTTGCAGATTTTTCTGGTGAAAACAAATGCTACTCAAGCTGAGAAAAGAGTGGTGAACTAGCTCAAACTTATTAAAGAGTTTAACTAAGAGGCTGGTTAAATCAATGGGTCTTAGACAAACTCAGATTCTGATGAACTTCTAATGACCCAAAGTAAGGACCTTGAGAGCACTTATTCTGAAAAAGTCAGAGAAAACAAAGATAACAAAGAAAGCAAAGATAACACTCCCCCTCCACATCTTCTGCAGTCACCTGTGGGACAGCATCTCAGAGGTGATTGTATCCTCCCATACTCCAAGGGAACTGGCAAAACACCATGAGAAATCCTGCCTGTCCAGGTGTTTTTAAAACTTCCAAACTACCTTTATGTTCTTCACCTTGTGAGATTTCCAACCATCTCTTTGGATGAAGAGATAACCCCAAGACCTTTTGAATGCTGGTCTGACACAAATGGCATTGCTGACCATTTTAAAGTGAAAATCCACCCATGAAGAGGGGCTGTGTGTCTTGGCTTTGATAAGGCAGAATTCACATACACTGGGTAAGAATCCACCTCCAAATTCTGTTACATTTCCCTACATGGTGCCCTCACTCACTGCTGAAATGAGCTGAAATGCCCAGACTTGCAGAAATCCTGGGTTGGACCTTGGAGAGGTTCTTTCTGACCCAGAACCCTGACAAACCAAGTCAAACTTTAAGAATAGTTTCACTGCAACCTGCTTGTAAGCCAAGATACTACTTCATGCATATTCAAATGACAAAAACAGATCTATAATTAGTACTGGGGGAAAAATGTTTGGTGCAGGGCAAGCAGGGACAGTGGAGAGAGAGCACCCTCCTCCCAGCTTGGAAGCCTGCTGCAGGCTCCTTCAAAACCCCTTTCCTTCCGACATTCATGTTGACTCCTGATGAATTTTGAGACCTGGAGGAATCAGATAGTTTCCCAGTCACGTCATGTGCTTCTCTGGGGCAGGCTGCACAAGCAGGGCTCCTGATGGCACCAGAGTTGCCTCTGGATCTGTCACATGTTTGGGTCAGTGGTAAGCTTGGTCCTCCTAAATGCCATTTTCCTTTGACTGACCTTTCATTCTGAGGAATTGTTGGATCGGTCCCTGTCACAGGATCTATCTGCAGACCTTTATGACATTTTGAAAAGGGTGCATTTCTTAGAGCTATTCTGCCTAAAAACATTACTGCAGCTCTTCATTAGCTCCCCCAGCAGCTTTCTCGGGAACAGGAATAAAATTCTTCCCTCACTCTTTTTTCCTGCTGTGAATTTTACCAGATACAGCATGCACTTCTCAGTAGCGCACTGTTCTAGGACAAAGATGATAAGGCCTTGTTTTTATTCATTTAGTGCTCTATATCTTTCCATTTTATTACCTATTATCTTTGCATTAATAACTTTCTGCTCAAGCAGTACTCTCTGGAATCAGTGTTTTGATGTAAATATCAAGCACCATGACAATTATTACAATATTGGAATTTACTACAGTGTTTACAAAGAACCACAATATAATTCAGCACCTTCACATATGCCAGAGGCCTCAAGACACCCTGGCAAGCCAATGCTAGCTGGATCTCCTGAAGCTGGGCTACAGCAAGAACAAAATGTTGATATCATCACAGATGTGTCATGTACAGGCATTCATTGGGTCTTATTTCACTACATATCTGTAGAGCCCTGGGACTGCAACAGTGATGGATGAATGCTTCAGCAATCAAGACACACTTTGGCACATCTCACCACTCTGCAGCATCAGAGGCATCAGGGGAAGCAGCAGAGAGGGGTAAGTTTGTTTTGCAAAAGGTCCTTCTCCAATATCCTCTGGGCAGCGGGTGCTACTGACACAGAGCTGCCTCACACACTATCTAGGCAAAAACATCTTTCCCCTCTAAATCTAGTCATGGAGCTGCTCAGCACCACTCAGGTTCTCTTGGAAATTAATGTCCAGGGTTTCTCTATGCTACATGAACAGAGCAAAAAGATGTAGTAAAAACATGCTGAGCCCAGAAATTTCCTGTGTGCACTGTCACTGAAACAGGAGATCGCCACCTTCCAGACGTGGCCCCTAGTAAGCCAGGGGGTGGCCAGCAGAGCAGAGTGCCCAGCTAGCCCTCCCGAGGCACTGATGTGGCAGTGTCCCTGGTGTCTGACCCTGCAGGGCCGGGCACGTGTGTGCTCACAGCTGAGCGCGGTGTGGGAGCAGAGCCCAGCACACAGCCCCTGCAGGCTGGATACATTTCTACAGCTGCTTAGCAAGGCAAAATCCCAGGAAAGCACCTGCTGCTTCACCTACAGCTGCCAGGGAGGTAAAAACAGGCTGAACCCTGGCTCTAGCCACCGAGTTCCCATCCCTCACTGCTGCCAGTCTGTCCCGTGCTCTAACACAGCATTAAAAGGCAGATGAAATTACTCCTCAGGCAGTCAGTATCACGATCTCTGCCATCCTGGACCCTAGCTTTGTGTCCTGTGTGAGCAGAAATTATCTAATTGAGTGCAATACCCTGTCTGCTCACTATAGTGCTGCTCTTGCCTTGTTTGTGGGCAAGAACCACAAGAACTAGAAAGCAACACCATAAGGGATCGTTCTGAAACCTGAAAACATTTCATTAAACCAGACTGTTAAAACAGTGACTTCATATATTTACCAATGCATAATTAATGCTAATATATATCATCTCTGGCTAGGGGGGGATGAATCCTGTGAGCTGCCGTGTGCCTGCACTCGAGGGCCAAAGGTCCAGACTGGATCCTTTCAGGGTGGAGTAGCAGAGAGCAAGAGCCCTCTGGCCCTGAGGAGGAGTCCCTACACTGTGCTCCCCTCAATTTTTTAGCCATTAGGCAGTGATTCTTGGATACATCAGCCTTTATTAACTGCTGAGAATCCCCAATCCGTGATGCTCCTGGACACAGCAATTACTTCCTGCAGCATTTTTTCATGGGATATGGGAGAAGGGCATGAAAACAAGGCCCTAGATAGATACTCCATCCAAGATTTTTAGGCATTTTTTGTAGTCAGGAAGGGAAGCCTTGCAGTTTTCCCCCAGGTAAGGACAACTCTCTACAGCCACAGGGCACTGCTTTTAAGCCCTATCTCAGTGGAGACAGTGAAGCTGGTTCTGCAGTCTGAACAGAAGGAGCTCTCTCAAAACTTAAGCCCCACCTTGACACAAGCTCAGTGGGAGCAGGTTTCTTAATTCCCCCTTGTCCTCAACCCAATAATTTGAGAGAATAATTTCTTAATACTCTCGCTGAGGAAGAAGGGTGGGATTTGACTTTGCGGATGTGACCCGGGAAGAAGTGATGAGAATGCAGCTGCCTCCCCCCTGTGCCTCGTTGTTATTCTTTCTCCAAATACAAACTAAATATAACTTTGCCCCGTAACATTCAAATCATTTTAGTTGCTAGCAGGGATCATGCCTGGAGTTCCAAGGGCCAGGGTGCAATCAGGCTTAAAATATAATTTAAACAATCCAGAACCTACATTTTCCACCAAGTTATTTTCTTGCTTGTAATTTCTCCATCTGCAAATACATATAAACACAACTAGAAAGAAACCAACAAGCCCAGCCAGATGCCAAGTTTTCTGTTCAGGATCATATAAACCCAGTCAAACATTAACAAGGAAATGCCATGATCACCTCATTTGTTTTAAATATTTCTGCTCATATACATGCAGACAAGTGTGCAGATTTATTTGCCTCATTTACGAATACAAGCAAC